CGACCAAGGAGGTCGACAAGAAGAAGTCGACCAAGGACAGCGGTCGAGGAGGAGGAAGTCAACGTCGGGAGTGCTGGCTGTGCGGTGACCCCGACCACCTCTCCTTCGAGTGCCCCAACCGCAGTGACTTCGACGACGATGACGCCAAGCGAGGCTGCGGGAGGTCTGGCATTCGTCGTCCTCGTCGTGGAGGAAACAAGCCGCGCAAGGAGAAGCAGTCGACCACGTCGACCTCGGCGACGGACGCCGACTCCTCTGCTGGCGGCAAGGCGCGGGACGAGAAGACGGCGTCGTGCTCGCTGGTCGATGTCGTGGAGCCGACCATTTCTATGGTGCCGGAGGCCGGGGAGGACTTCTAGGCGGTAGCGGCAGCTGTGCAGGCGAACCCAAAAATTCCTACTCGACAGCGGCTGCTCCCACCACCTGATGGGGACGAAGGACGTCTTCGTCGACCTGCAGCCGAGCGGTTCCATCAAGTACGTGCGCGGCTTCAATGGGGCGCTGCAGGATGTCCAGGGCCGCGGCATCGTCGCCCTGCAAGGGAAGGTCGGGAAGCAAGTGCTCATCCCCGATGTGCTGTACATCCTGGGTGTGCGGGCAAACCTGCTGTCGTCCGGCCAGCTGAAGGAGCACGACGTGAAGCTGCAGGAGGACGGAGACGGGATGCTGCTCGCCTCGGCAGCGGGAGAGGTGCTCGGTCGGGCGGCATACTCCCGGTGTGTCCTCTGCACCGACCTGCGTCCCTGCTCAACGAGGTCGACGTCGCCCACGCCGGAGGTTGTGGCCCTGCGAGCGATCGTCTCAAAGACGAAGTCGACGCCGGACATGATGCATGCGCGGCTTGCACACGTCGGCATGGACACCATCAGGAGCTCGGCGAGGAACGAGGTCGCCATTGGGCTGGACCTCAAGTCGGCGACGGGTGCCGACTCCCCGTGTGTCTCGTGCGTTGGCGGGAAGCTGGCGCAGCACACCTTCCCCGACCAAGGCTCCGACGCCGACGACGTGCTGGCCGTTGTGCACATCGACCTGTGCGGGCCGTTCCGCGTGGCTGCCAAGGACGGCAGCTTGTACTTCCTGCTGCTGAAGGACCGCAAGACCCGCTTCGTGTGGGTGAGGCCGGTTGCCAAGAAGTCAGATGTGCTGCTGGAGTTCCAGAAGTGGCTGGTGTTGGTGGAGAGGCAGACGAAGAAGTTGATGCTGATGTTGCGCTCGGACCGAGGAGGGGAGTTCCTCGGGAAGAAGTTCACCGACTTCGTGGACGGACAAGGGATCGTCCACGACCTGACCTGCCCGTACACCCCGCAGCAGAACGGCATGGCGGAGAGGGAGATGCAGACGGTGGTGGAGTCGGTGCGGACGATGCTGCTGCACATGGGCGTGCATCACCACTGGTGGCACCTCGCCCTGCGGCAGGCCGTCTGGGTCCGCAACTAACTTGAGCGCTCAACGCTGCCGCCGGGGACGACGCCGTACCAGCTGCTGACCGGGCAGAAGCCCGACTTGTCGATGGCGCGGGTGTGGGGCTGCATGGCGCAGTTCCTTGTCCCCGAGCAGCAGCGTGGTGGGAAGTTGAAGCCGAAGGCCAGGTGGGGCCTTCACCTTGGCGTGCCGGGGGAGAGCAAGGGCTGGGAGCTCCTCAACATCGACGCCAACCAGGTGGTCACCACGTCAGACGTGGTGTTCTACGAGGATATGTCGCTGGAGGTGTGAAAGTCGGAGCGCGGGCCGGTGTCCGGTCAGACGCCAACCACCCCGCCGACCGATACCTCGACGGTGACGCTGCCTCTGCTCGCCGAGGTCGGTGAGCTTGCTGCTGAGGACATTGAGGTCGTCCGTCCTCCTTCCCCTTCCCCTCCCTCTCCTGCCCCTCCCATCCTGGCCGACCTGTGCGGGCTGGCCTCGGAGTCGGCCTCTGGCGATGAGGGGAGTAGTGGGACGTCACCTTTGGCGTCGACCAAAGGCATCGCCGGTGGCCGACGTAACGAGCGGCAAGTCGACATGGGAGTGAAGCCGATGTTGATGGGGGAGGAGCAAGTCGAGGAGAAGCAGCCGACAGGGGAGCAGGCAGCAGTGAAGTCGACCACGGAGCAGTCGGCAACTGGGCTGTTAGCAAGGGAGCCGACCACAGGGAAGAAGTCGGCCAGGAAGTCGACTCAGCTGCAGCACGACGATGAGGGGGAGGAGGACGCCGAGGAGTCCACCAAGAGTGACGTGGTGGAGGTTCTGCCTGAACCCCGGAAGTCAGGCCGACTTCGGAGGCCACCCGACTTCTTCGTCCCTGCTGCCTTCACCACGGTGTACGACGTGGACGACGACGACCTGGCGTATGATGAAGCCGAGGAGGATGAGGAGTTTCCGGAGCTCGACCCCGACATGCATGCCGACCCCGAGCACCGTTGGGACATCTCGACGATGACAGTGAAGGAGGTGTTGGCAAGCTGGAAGGGCCCGGTGGTGAAGGCTGCCATGGAGGAGGAGATCCGCAGCCTCATCAACATGGGTACTTGGGAGCTGGTTGAACGCCCACCGGGAGTGAACATCATGAAGAACCAGTGGGTGTTGACGATGAAGTACCACGTCGACGACACCGTCGAGCGTGAGAAGGCGAGGCTGGTCGTAAAGGGCTTCACCAAGGTGTATGGTGCCGACTACGACGAGACGTTCGCGCCGGTGGGCAGCTACGTCACTCTAAGGATCTTCCTCAGCATCGTCGACGTCCTCAACCTCAACCTGATGCAGCTCGACATGAAGAATGCCTTCCTGCAGAGCAAGCTCGACCGGGTGCTCTACATGTCCCAGCCGGACTACTTCAACGACGGAACCGGCCGGGTGTGCAAGCTGCTGAAGAGCCTGTACAGGCTGAAGCAATCGCCGCTGCTGTGGTACTTGGCGCTCAACGACGTGCTGGTCGGCGCCGGGTTGAAGAAGAGCCTAGTCGATGAGGCTCTGTACTTCAAGGTCGGCGACGATGAAGTGGCCTGCTGGGTGTTGGTCTACGTCGACGACCTGCTCGCCGCCAACAGCAGCACCGAGATGCTGACGGAGCTGAAGGAGCTGTTGGAGTCCGCCTTCGAGCTTCGTGAGATCTCGCCGGTGCAGAAGTACCTCGGGCTGGAGATCGTCCGCGACAGGTCGGCGGGGAAGCTATGGCTGCACCAGCAGGGCTACACCGACAAGCTGCGTAGGCGCTTCATCGACGAGGAGCAGACCGAGCGCACCCCGAAGACGCCGGTCTCGGTCGACGCCTACGGCGAGCTCACCTTCGATGATGAGGAGGCACAGGAGCGACAGGAGGAGGAGTACCGGCAGAAAGTCGGCTCGCTGCAGTTCGCGGCGATGTCGACGAGGCCGGACATCGCCTTCGCCTGCAGCAAGCTGGGGAGCGGCCTCACGGTGAGGAGCGACCAGCACTGGCGCGAGGTCGACCGCTGCCTCACCTACCTCGCCAACAAGCGTGACTGTTAGAGGTCCACTGGTGATCCCCAATTGATCCTAGGGAAGGGTTACAGACATGTTGGCCTGGGGGGTTATGGGCGCACTGACCGGCTACTTAACAAGCCCTTTTATCCCAGTGGTCTAGTGACTGGGATTCTGACATGGTATCAGAGCGAAGGTCTCGGGTTCGAATCCCAGTGTGTGCACTTTGGGCATCCCAGTGCGGGGGGGTGTTAGAGGTCCACTGGTGATCCCCGATTGATCCTAGGGAAGGGTTACAGGCATGTTGGCCTGGGGGGTTATGGGCGCACTGACCCGCTACTTAACAAGCCCTTTTATCCCAGTGGTCTAGTGACTAGGATTCTGACAGTGACACCGCCCTGGAGTTCGGCGGTGGACCTGAGTCGCTGGAGCTGGTCAGCTGCGTGGACACCGACGACACCGGTGACGAGCAGAATAGAACGAGCACGGGCGGCTACGTGTTCGTCTACGGAGGGGCCGCAGTCTCCTGGTCGAGCCAGCGCATCAAGTGCGCGACGTTGTCGTTGACCGAGTCGGAGTACGTGGCGGCCACGGAAGCCGGCAAGGAGGGACGTCGACTTCGCTTCCTCCTCACAGAGTTCCAGCAGCTGGATGCTGGGAAGTCGACCGTCCTTCGGGTGGACAACAAGTCGGCCATCACAGTTGCCGAGGGCATGGGGTTGAAGGGCAACCTCAAGCACACGGAACGACAACAGGCCTGGCTGCAGCACATGGTGAAGCGCGGGAAGTTTTCGTTGAGTTACATCCCGACCACCGAGCAGCCGGCCGACTTCATGACGAAGGCGCTGCACTATCCGGCCTTCAACCGGTGCTCCGTCGCCATCGGCCTGGTGCGCTTGGCCGACGTGGGTGACGAAGTTGATGAAGTGCAGCAGTAGGTGCCATGTCCTCTTGCATGGCTGGTGCGGTGGACGACGTGCTGTCTGTTGGGTGCACGTCGACGAGCTTTTCTCCGAGGACTACTGCCGTGTGGTCTGGGGGGCCCAAGCATGAACGCGGCAGGGGAGTGTCAGCAGGAGTTTTGTGTTGGCCCCGTCCTCGCTTGGGCGGAGCCAAATTCGTGGTCGGATGTGAGGGGAGCAGCCGACCTGCAGCAGTGGCCGAGCTGGTTGACGAGGAGGTCGACCTGCACGGAGACCACTGTACGGGCGCCGACTTCAGGGTGGCGTCAACCCTAGACTACGGGCTAGGCACGGGTGCTCGTGTGATCTCTGCGTTCGTTGGTCCTTAGTCGTTTTCCTAGTGCAGACAGTGCTTGCTAGTTCACGCGGCAAGTTGGCGAGAGTTTCACTAGAGAAAGTTGACAACAATGGTACAATAAAGTTGGCATGGCAAGACTACATCAGAGCTAGCATTCAGGTCGGTCGACTGCCAGCGCAGCATGGTCGACCGCGTTTCAGCACGACTTGGTCGACCGTGCTCCAGCAGCGCAATGTCGACGGCGTGCTAACGTCGCAGGTTGACAGCGTGCCAGCATTGCTCCCGCAGAACAGCAGCGCACCCGCTTCCCGTTGTAGTAGTTATCTCCGCAGACCAAGAGGGGGGGAACCATGTGGGCTAAATGGCAGCAGGGGGAGGGGGGTGCAGGGAGGGGGGGAAGTCGCGGGGGTGTTCGGGAGCCCAGGCGGGGGGGGAGAAGAGACCAGAGGGGGGTGGAGCGACTTGCTTGAGAGGAATGTGGGAGAGACCGGGGGGAGGGGGCTGCTGGCAGAGGGGGGGAGCCTCGTTGGGGGTCGGGCGGCCCGGTCAGAGCGCTGGGGACGGTTGCAGTTGGGTCCTTGAGAGGGTGGGGGTTGAAAAGAGAGAGGGGGGGTGGGGAAGGCGGGATTGAGGGTAGGGGGAAACGAGAGGAGGGGGATCGGGAGAGAGGAAGGGGAGGGGAGGAGTCGGGGTGTGGGGGAAGCAGGGGAGGGTGCTGTTTGAAACGGGGGGGAGAGAAAGGGGGAGGGGAGCATCTCCATGCCAGCGTGGGGGTGGGCAGAGGGGCCGTCCTCTGGGGAGACCCGGGGAGGAAAGGCACCTAAGGTGGGGGGTACGTTGGGAGGGGGCAGAGAGAGGGGTTCCGTACGAAAGTGCAGTCTGCGAGGGGGTTGGAGATCAAGGGGGAGGTTGCGGGTGGAGGGTGAGTTCGTGGGAGGTCGGGGGTCCGTCCTTGGAGGGGGAGGGGGGGGGGGGGAGTGTTGTGGGGGGAGGGGTTGAAGTGGGTAGGGGCAGGGAGTGGGGGATCAAGGGAGGAGCAGAGGCTCCGAGACACGGAGATTGCATGGGGGGTGTGGGAATTGGGGGGATACATGAGGGTGGGCGGAGGCCCAACTGTAGGGGGGACAGAGGAGGGTACGTTGGTGGCAAGGGCTGCGCGTCCTGGGAGGGAAGTTTGCCGACAGGGGTTGGAGAGGGCAGGGAGGGAGGGGTGGTGTGGGGAGGGCGGGAGAGTGAGTAGGAGCCCGACGACATGGGGGGCCGGGGAAGGAAGCGCTGTGGGGGAGAGGTGGGTGACGGGGGTGAAGGCAGGGTGAGGGGGGGCACCTGGCGCTGGGGAAGGGATGGGAGGAGCGAGGGGAGTGGGTAGGGGCAGATAGGAAGTGGGGTTGGCAGGGACCCAGGCGGCCGTACAGGGGGGGAAGCAACAAGGCAGTGGGGAAGGGGGGCTCTTAGGGAGAGAGGGGCAGCGGGGGGTGAGCGCGGGGGCTGGAGGGGAACAGTGAGGTTGTGGGGTAGGGGGAGGGTAGACCAAGGGGGAGGTGGTGACTGGATGGGGGGCAACGGGGGGGCAACCGAGAGGACATCGAAGGCAGGCTAAGGGCATGCAATGACAGCGGAAAGGGAGGATGCTTGCGAATAGAAAAAGAGCGACAGATTTTGTACCGTTTGCCTGCTGCAGCTGAGAAATTGAGATCGTGTTCTTGTTCGTGAGGCGCCCGCGGCAGCGAACAATGAAAGCCTCGTGGTCCGATGCGCGATGGTTGTTACCGCACAGCGAGCACACGTGGCAGGATAAACAAAGCAGCATAGCGGGCTTGTTCGTCTCGAGCAGGATTTCGGATGGGATCCGTTCGAAGTTCGGATCATCGGGGGTGGCCACCGGGAGCCCCGCGAGGCGGGTGAAAAAGGTCTCTTCGTAGGGGTCAGAGACACAGTGAAAGTCAGTTAGGTCCGCGAGCCAATGCGCGCCGTCCTCCTCGGTGGTCCCGAGGAGAGAGGCGCGGATATCCTCCGGATCAAACTTGAGGGGGACATTTCGAATAGATAGGGTGGGAGCGCTGGCTGCCTTTGCGGCGGTGAAGGCTTCGAACCTGTCAACATAAACTTTCAGCATGACGGGGCGGGAGTTGGAGATTTTCAGCATGAGGGGAAAAAGCTTGCGGAAAGCCGCGACATCTTCCTGCGACGACGAAGAGAACAGCAGGCGACCGTACACGCGGCGGGCCACGCGGAGGGGTTCGCCGACGGTGTGCTCGAAGGGGGGGATGACACCCGAGTCGAACATGAAGCCGCACAGCTGCAAGTTGATCCTAGCGAGGATTTCCATGCGGTGCGACTCCAACCCGGCTTCCGGGAGGAGGAGCGTGACTACCACGCGACGACGAAGGGGGAGGAGCATCGGGGTGGTTGCGAGAGTGCGCGTGCGGCGGAGTTTGCGGGGGGATCCGCCGGGCACGGGTGAGGCAAAAAGCGAGGCGGGCAGCGCGAGGACCGGGTTTGCGCTGGAGGCGACAGCCGCGTAGGCAGCGGCGCGAAGAACCGGGGCATTGGGGGCGGCAGGAGTTGCTGCCAGAGAGTGCGCGGGGCTTTGTAGAGGCGACGTGGGAGTAGCAGCAGCAGCGAGGAGCACCAGAGACCGCGCGGGCTGCGCCAGCGCCGAATCGGAGGAGGTGGAGGGGGAGTTGAAGTTAACAGGGCCAGCACCGGGGTCCATGCAAGGCTTTTTCGCAGCGGGGTGGTCAGGGGAGTTCGCGAGGTCGTTGATTAGCCCTTCCGGAAGGTCTTCGACCAAGAGATCTGTGAAAGATAAGAGAACAAGAATGAATGAACTAGCAGTGAAATGAGTACAAGTAGGAAACCCTAGAATTGTGTACCCCCTATAGGCTAACCCACTGTAGCCTACACAAGCATAACATGTATAATGTTTGACACACCCCCATAGGCAAAGTGGGGGAGAACAAGGGGTCACAAGACCAGTCAAGCAAAGCAAAGCAAGCTCAGGGTGGATCACAAAGTCACCACACAGTCCGAGCACAAGAGCAGGGCCAGAGGCCAGTTCACATGCAGGAGTACAGACATATATATAAAACTAGACAAGCAAGAGCAGGTATATATATATGTCACAGTACAAGTGAAGCCAAGAGGAGAGCAAGTGAGGCAAGACAGGCACAAGACCCAGCTGGGTGCAAAAGCGCTGATGGTCACAAGGCGCGAGTGCCTTGGTGAACACATCAGCAGTCTTGGCCTCAGAGGCCACGTACGCAAGTCGCAACTGACCACGCTGCTGCAGCTCACGAGCAAGGAAGTAGCGAAGAGCAATGTGCTTCGTTCTGTGCTCCAAGCGCTGCTCTCGACACAAGGCCAGCATGGCCTTGTTGTCTACGTACAGCACTGGAGGAGAACGAGGCGGCTCTCCAAGGTCAGTCAGCAGGTAGGTGAGCCAGCGAAGCTCCTGTGCAGCCATGGCCCCGGCGTAGATCTCGGCCTCACAACTGGAGCCGAGAACTGAAGACGAGCGAGTAGACCGCCACGAGACAGACCCGGAACCAAGGCTGAAGGTGTAACCCTGTGAAGACCGCTGCGTAGCCTGGTCGTCAGCCCAAGAAGCGTGTGCGTGGCCGGTAAGGACCACTGGACTCCGCCCTCCAAGCACTAGCCCCATGCCCGACGTACTGCACAGGTAGCGCAATACCCTCTTCGCTGCAGCCATGTGCTCTGGTCTGTGTCTCCCAGGAGCAACATAGCGTGCAAGAATGCTCAGAGGGTATGCAAGGTCAGGTCGTGTGCAGGTCATCAGGTACATGAGGCAGCCAACAAGCTCTGCATACGGACCACTCGACTCTACGGACTCATCCGAAGGCAGAGCTGAGAGTGAGTGGCGAGTAGGCAGAGGAGTGGCCTGAGGCGAGGAGTACGTGAAGCCGAAGCGCTGAAGGACCTGCTGCACCATGTGTGACTGAGTCAAGGTAATGGTGCGGCGTGCTCTGTCCCGAGTGATCTGCAAGCCAAGGTAGCTGCGCAGTTCACCCAGGTCTGTGCACGTGTGTCTCTTCAGCAGCTCGGACTTCACGTAGGCGAGTCCAGCAGTGTCCGCTGTGGCAAAGACCAAGTCGTCGACGTACACGAGGATGTAGAACGGCGGCAGGGAAGTGTCGGTGCGAAGAAACAGCGACGGGTCAGCAGTAGAAGGAGCAAACCCAAGAGCCGCAAGCGTAGTCCTCAGTGTGTCGTGCCACTCACGTGGTGCCTGGCGGAGACCGTAGACTGGCCGTCGGAGGCTCCACTGGGTGCCAGGAGGGAAAGTCCCAGTGAAGCCAGGTGGACGGCGAAGCCAGATCTCCTCGTGCAGGCTACCCTGCAAGAACGCAGTGCTGAAGTCGAGAGAGTGAAGCTCGTAGTCGCGCTGAGCGGCTATGTGCAGCAGCACCCGAAGAGTAGTCATCTTCGGGGTGGGAGAGAAGGTCTGAAAGTAGTCAACTCCCTGCCGCTGACTGAAGCCACGAGCAACGTACCGTGCCTTGAAGACAGGTGGAGAGCCCGGCGGCCGCTTCACCCTGAAGATCCACATGCCACTGACGATGTTCGCCCCAGGAGGGGGAACCGCGTCAACGTAGGTGCCTGTGGACTTCCAGGAAGCCATCTCTGCATCCATAGCTGCCTGCCACTGAGAGGAGTAGGGACCCTCTACGGCCTCCGCGTAAGAACGCGGAGTCGGGATGTCTAGTGCATCCGGGTCTCCCTCAGGGGCAAGTAGTACAGACGCGAGATGAGGTGAAGCAGCCGCTAGACACTGTAACTCCTCCTGCCTGTCCTCTAGGACGTCCGTGCCAAGAGCACACTCACCCCCGACGGACGGAGGACAGACAGACGCAGACTCAGCAACAAGACTAGCAGCGTAGTCGAGGCGACAGCGAGCAGCAAAGTCGACGAGCTCAGCGACTAGAGCAGACGCAGAAGTGGACTCAAAAGAGGGGTCAGTGACGAAAGTAGCAAGCAGACGCGTGACAGTAGGACTGGCAGCACGAAGAGAGTCGGACTCAGGGTCGGCAAGCGCAGGAAGAGAAGACTCAGGAGGAGAAGGCAAAGGGGCACGCAGAGGAGCAGTGGACGGACGCAAAGACATCCGGTGCGTGCCAGGGACAGGAGGAGGACGCTGACGCGAACTGCGACCACTAGCGCGAGCAGCACGAACAGGCGACGCGGGACGAGACGCAGGCTCACGACGCTCAGCAAGACCTCCAGTAGGACCAGTGTAAGGAGAGGGAGCAGGCAGTGGAGAGGAAGGCTCCAGCAGGGACTGCGACTGGACAGGCGGTGGACCCTCTACTGGAGGAGAAAGACCAAGAACCTGCTGCAGGAGCGGAACGAAGTACGGCCGAGGCCGCGCGGCAGTTCTAGACTCAGCAGGGACAGTACCAGCACCCTCAGCGACAGCACCAGCGCCACCCACATCTCCAGCGGCAGGACCAACAGCAGTAGGCTCAGCACCAACGCCCTCAGCAGCTCCAGCTCCAGGAGGACCAGCAGGTCCAGCAGCTCCGGGACCGGCAGCACCCGCACCCTCGACGGTCGAAGAAGCTCCAGCTCCAGCTCCAGCAGCACCTCCAGACTCAGCAGCACGCCTCCAGCGGCGAGCGAACCACTCGCGCAGCTCCTGTGGAGAGAGGGGCTCCCGGCGAGACGCAGCAGCAGGAGAAACCCCAGGCTCAGCAGCTCCAGTTGAGCACCCCCAGGCTCAGCAGCTCCCAGCTCAGCACCCCCAGGCTCAGCAGCTCCCGACCCAGCACCCCCAGACCCAGCACCTCCAGGCACAGCACCCCCCGGCTCAGCACCCCCAGGCTCCGCACCCTCCGCAGTAGCACCCTCAGGCCCAGCACCCCCAGCAGTAGCACCCCCAGGCTCAGCACCCCCGCGCACAGCACCCCCAGAGTCAGCACCCCCAGGCTCAGCACCCGCAGCAGCACCAGAGTCACCAGTAACCTCGACCGGGTCAACGGCATCTACCTGGGACACACCTGAGGGGGCAGGAACCTGAGGGGGGAGGGGGTCTACCGGGGGGGGAACCGGCACAAGGAAGTCCGGGGGAGGGGGGAGGGAAGGAGTGCGGTAGGGGAAGAGACGGTAGAAGGGGACTGACTCGTCGAACGTGACGTCCTGGGAGGACAGAACACGACGAGAGGAGGGGTGGTAAAACTGCCACCCTGGGGCGTCAGTGGGGAAGCCAAGGAAGACACAGGGAGCAGCACGAGGGGACAGCTTGTCCGCAGACAAGTCGCGGACAAACGCCCGAGATCCCCAGACACGGAACACAGACGCATCGCCAACCTTCCCCGTCCACAGCAAGGCTGGGGACATCGCAGGCCGAGAGACCCGGGGGTGAAGGTTGAGCTGATGCGCCGCGTACCTCACCGCAAACGGCCACAGAAAATGGGGGGCAGCCGCATGCATCATGGACGTACGAGCGACATCCATGACCATGCCAATGCGGCGCTCAGCAATCCCATTTTGCTGTGGTGAGTCCGGAAGCGTGAAGGTCTGGCGGATCCCCCGTGCACGACAGTAGTCTCGCAGAAGGCGAGAAGAGAACTCTCCGCCTCTGTCCGAGTGCAGACGCAGAACAGGAAAGTCCGAGCCGAAGCTCTTCCTGAGCTGGAGACGAGCCTCGCGGATCCAGTCGATCAGCACCTCAGTGACCGCACCCTTGCTGCGCAAGGGGAGGACTGTGGTGTAACGCGAGTAGTCGTCAACCACCAACAGGAAGTAGCGCTCGTGACCCTGCCCACGGACTGGGGCTGGGCCCCACACATCCATGTGAAGCGTCTGCAGGGGAGCCTCTGTCGGGGGGAAGTGGGAGGAGTGAGGAGTAGCCCGGAGGCGACCCTCGACACAGGGGACACAGGAAGGTCCTGGCCCGGAGGGGAGAGGAGGGAGAGACTGGGGAAGACCAGAGACAAGGACACGGGAAGCCATGCTCCGAAGACGGGGCAAGGAGGGGTGGCCAAGACGGTGGTGCCACAGGAGAGTCTCGTGAGACAGGAGGCGACAAGAACAGGGGGCAGACTCAGGACCTGACCGGGATGCAGCAGCAAGCACCTGACCTGACGCAGCCACCTGACCAGACGCAGGGACAGGAGGAGACTCAACGGTCAGGGTGTAGAGACTCGACCCCGGCCGACGCGAGAACGTGGCCAGGTGTCGGCCTGTGCGTGCCTCCGTGCAGTGGGTCACCCGCTGACTCGCAGGAGTGAACTGGTGAACCCCCACATCCTGGAGGTCCGCGCCACTCACCAAGTTCGTAGAGAACGAGGGAAGGTACAGACCAGACAGGGTGCCCGAAGGGGCAGCCGGACACGGGAGGACAGTGGAGAAGTGAGACAGGACAGGACCCCCAGAGGGGTCAGCAAGGGAGACTGCAACCGGCCGGCCGAGCGGCGTAAGGGTAGTGCGGTCTCGAAAGAAGGAGCGAGAAGCCCCGGAGTCAAGTGTGAAAGTGAGGGAGGACGAGGACGACGCAGTACCTGAGAGCGCAGTCTCACCAGTACCTGAGAGCGCAGACGCACTGGCACCTAGAGCAGCAACCTCACAAGCACCTAGCGCAGCAGTACCAATGCCCGGGTCGGGCTGGAAACACCGGTAACCCTCATTCTCCTCACTATAAGTCACAGCATACATAGCAGCAAGGATAGCATCAAAATCAAGATCAAAGATCGCTAC